GTACTTATAAGCCATCTAATATCCATTTTGCTTAGCCATGATTATAAAGACTGAAAAAAATACACATACTTAACGTATCGATCTTTTTTTATGTCGATGCTATGGTACGATTCGATGCAATCAAATTCTATAGTACACCGTATCGTCGGCTGGTAGTCTTTAAAACAGTAGTGAATAATTAAAACACAGTTATAATAATACATGATATTGTATTTGGAACAATGTTTCTCTCTTACCGCGTAATAATATAAATAATAGCTTGGTGAACGTCACAGATACAAAATATATAATAATTAATTAATAATCACTTATGTATAGGTACATCCGTCGCCTGGTGCGCACGTCCTACCGAACAATTTCTTTTATTACATTAACACCGTCGTCGCCACAAATGTCTACTATTTAACACGAGTTTCTACAAAAAACGATTAAATTTTACATTTAAAAATAAACATATTTCATTAATGAGCAGCTGCTCTCTTGTCTTAGGAAACGTAAACGGTCTTCAAATATACTGGGGGTCGCGTAGTCAATACCATATAAGACAAGAGGTTTATTAATCAGGACATAGCCAATTTTTGCAAAAATAATTTAAAACCATATTAATGAATTACTATGTGAAAACTAGATGGGGAGGCATTTTGGTATACGAGTATACTACGGGTAGCCGCGCCTTCGGCGGGGACGGGATGTAGAATTATAAAAAATGAGTCACGTAGTATGGGTACGCTCCCTTAATGTCGTCTTCAACCGCAAACAGGCGAACCCGGCCTCTGCGAACCATTTCAGTGTCAGTCCCAGTTTTTCCATCCGAGACTTGACTTATTGCAAATCAAACTTCTCCGTACATACGTTTTCCTAATCCAATTTACCTCGTCTTTGTCCCGTCTGAAAGCGATTACCATCAGAACTAGGTATTTAGCGAATTAGACCTTTTTTAAGCTGTTAGGCATTCATCGACTAAGCCTCTCAAAGGAACTTGGCGTCAGACGGGTGACGCCTATAAAAAAAAAAATTAGTATCGAGTCCAAAATTTTCTGATATATGGTACCATATGATTTTAGAAAATAATGGACTCTTCTACAGTAATAAGAATTACTTATCCAAAATGAAAATATAAAACTTTGGAAAATATTAATTTATAATTTGAAAAATTAAAAAACTAAATAATTAATTTTGTTTTAATATAATTTCATCTACACTTATATCACCTTAATAAAGAAATATAATACTTAAAAAAAAAACCATTGATGAACGTTATTGTGCAAAGAAAACGGTCGTGTCTGCCGCGTGTGAGATGTTGATATTGTCCCAGTTAAGAATGTTGTCATCTGGACCGAACCAGCGTGAGAAAATAATATTATAATTAAACTTAATTCACTGACACGGTCTTGTTATTATATAAACGTAATTTTATTAAAAAATATTTCTATCAAACTCGAGTTATTAAAGTTTGAAGTGGACTTAAGACGTTCTGCTGTAAGAATATTAATCTTTTGGAACCTGCTGGTCACATATTAACTATAAACCTAGATAACTAAGAAATTATCTTTCATTAAAACTTTATAATATTATTTTAAGAACCACGAGAATTCTAAGAGATAATTTAATTATATAATATTTGAAAAGAAACTCGTAACTTATTGCAAAATTGAATACAGTTCAATTTGAGTGTTCTAACTTATAATGATATAACTCTTATTATATCGTTATAAATATATTTTTATTTCATTAATTATATTTTTTTAAATTTTGATTAATATAATGGTATTTAAAATGTCTGTGTGGTGACGGATTAAGAATACGGAGTGTCACCACCGCTATTCATCCCGTGGGTGTCGTAAGAGCCGACTAAGGGAGCAAACTACGCAAGACAACAGCACTGCAAAGAGAAGGAAAACTATAAACTATACTAAGGTATAGTAGGCCAAAACTTCATTTCTAAGAAGAGGCCTATGTCCAGCAGTGGACTAATAAAGGCTGTTGATGATTTAAAATGCTTTTGTTAGAAGAGAGAAGGGTAATTAATTTAAAAACACTCCAGAACTTCTTGTACGTCAAAATAAGTACTACCAAAATTTATTAGCTTATTACGATTTAAACTGATTGGAAGGCTAACTATTATGATCATGAATACGTATAAATTTAAACGTTATTTTTGAAACCATAGACTATTTTTCTATATATACCAACGCGAAAAAACCATCTCTGACCGACAGGCTACGGTAAGTAGAAGCAGGGCTGATAGCGGGACATATTCTTCGAGGAGGGACCCTACGCACATCACAATAGAATCGCCTTGATTAACAAGCAATCTTCCTGGGTTCCCAAGAAACTCTAGAAGATTTGGTGACGGCACACTATGTGGTTCTTCGTGTGTGGTGTTGGTTTGCTCCCACCTGGTCTTGGTATCGTGACCACCCCTTTCACCCAAAAATGGGTAATTTTATATCAGGCCATCATATTATAAGCCAATACTGCCATGCTGTGATTCCATTAAGACCTCACGCCATTTTTAGGGTATAAGGGGGGTAAACGAGCAGACGGGTGACTACTGCCGCCCATGGACACCTGCAACTTAGGTTTTTTTTTTATCTCAGAGGGGGGCAGACGAACAGAAATCATTGTTACAACTGCAATTACTAAACGTTCAAGTTTTATTAACAAAACGCATTCCTACGTTTTATAAACTTGCCATGCACAAAATATAATTTACTTAAAAAACTATATGTTTACATCGATATTTATAAATGAGTGTATTAAGCAGTTAAAAACAAACATATTTTTTTTACTAATGATGACTGTGCACTGTACAGGCGAAGTAATAAAGGGCAACATTTAAGTGACGCATAAACAAGTAAAATTTTAACAAAAAAAACCGACTTCAATGGTTTTCTCATGGATTCCATGGTCAGAACTAGACCAAATTGAAATGGGACCACACGGGAAGCACCAGCTTTCCAATAAAAAAAGAATCATCAAAATCGGTTCACCCAGTCGAAAGTTATGAGGTAACAAACATAAAAAAAAAATACAGTCGAATTGAGAACCTCCTCCTTTTTTGAAGTCGGTTAAAAAAAACGTTAACGAATGATATTGATTTTATGAAGGCAATGACAACTCATTTGTGACAGCCAGCTGTCTTTGGTATCGATTTCAGTACAGAGCCTGTATGCAAACTACTGAAATAACTTTTGAACGCAAAGTTGTAAATATCTGGTAATTTAAACTTTAATTGTTGATGATATTACCGGCCAAATAAATATAACAATAATCCCTACCATGATATGGGCAAGGCGGTACCAAAAGTCCCATACATACCCGCCATTGTCCTTTCAAAAAATAAGTAAAATTTTAGATCATTGATATGTCTAGTTAGACTAACAAAGTTGAGACAGCTTCGAAAAAATAGTGTCCAACGGTTGGCTACAAGTTTTTTTCCGCTGTCACTATGTTAAAAGTTGATTTGCACTTAAAATGCACAATAAAGTTGGTTTGTTTTAGTTGTTTTGAATTTCAACACGCTATCTAGACATATAAATAAATTTAAGAGTTGAAATTGTACTGATAGGTATTTATCACAATTTTAAATGCTATTTATATACTAACTGATTTTGTAAATTAACTTTGTGCCGAACTCTTAAATAATATTAATATGAAAAATCATGAAACTCATAAAAATGCATAAGCAATCTCAAGTCTCACTTTTGTGAAATACAAATACATTAAAAGTAAAAAAACGGTCCGTGTGGCGACGGATTCAGAATACAGAGTGTCATCACCCCCTATTCATCCCATGGGTCACGTCAACAGAACTGCAAAAAGAAGGAAAACTTAACACAGAAGCTACACCAACCCGTCTGGCCAGCGTGGTATAGTGGCCCACCATTAAACCAGTCGTAGTAACCAGTCCAGCAGTGGACTATTAAAGGCTGTTGATGAAAAGTAAAAACATCAAAATATCTCGTATCTACAACTTACGTCAATATTTCGGTTATAATACTTGGACACACAATTAAATTAGATGCTTGCCGTACAACCGAATCTATTATCTAGCTTACATTTGGGCGACGACGTCAGATGCTAAAACTAATGCCGTAACATGAGACTAATTTGTCTGTCCATCGCACAACACACAATCAAGCATTTCTTATCACGTTTCCACTTCAGTTGCAATCTGAAACATGAAAGAGGCATTTATGAAGGAGATTAAACTAATTAATCTTAAAAAAACAAAACAAAATCAAACGAATATTTTTATTGTTTATATTCGTAGTATTTAATAATAATAACTTGACACATCTGACACACATTCGTCTGGTCCAAAACAAGACACAGTCTGTGTTATCGTAACCAGACTGCACGTTTACACAGATTTATTAATTGTTTTTGCAAGGTTTTTTGTAAGACTCCACTAAATTTTCAAATATATATATATATTTTTTCTTTTTAAAAAGACAACTCCCGCTCTAGGAATAAATCCTGTGTCGCGGGGGACTTTACAAACATACATGAAACGGACACAAAGTACACCCAGACTCAGAACAACAATTTGTGGATCACACAAAGTGTTGGTCCATGTGGGGTTTGAACCCACAACACTCGGTGTAATAGAAAGCGGCGTGGCGACCGCTTTAACCACTACGCCAGCCGTGCAGTCAATTTCGTCACAAAGAAATGAACCGCAAGATTAACCGACTGAGTAATAAACACTATTGAACATTTATGGTTCCGTGTGGTGCAGGATTAAGAATACAGTGTCACCACCCCTATTCATCCCGTGGGTGTCGTAAGAGCTGACTAAAGGAAAAAAACTACGCAGCACACCATACCAACCCGTCTGGCCAGCATGGTATAGTAGGCCAAAACCTCCTTTTTAATTAGAGGCCTGTGTCCAGCAGTGGACTGTTAAAGGCTGTTGATAAACATTTCTAATCGATGAGGAAAGGATTGAAACGAAATAGCAAATTATTGAGTGAAATCTTACCATCCGTCAGATGTTATTTCCTGGCCTGAAGTGCATTAGACAGCCAATCCATCGCCTGGTCTAACCCCTCGCCGCGAACGGCTGAAGTCTTGAAAATTTGGAAAGTGCGATCGCGTAGGGCATCCAGCCCTAACGCTTGGTGGACTTCTGCTACGGTCAGGCAGCCCGCCATATCTTGCTTGTTCGCTAGCACTACTAAAATCGCGTTGGCTAATTCTTCCTCCTGTAAAGTAAGAAAACAATGATGTCAGCAGGTGCTAATGAATGTTATACCAGGTCTCCATGAAAATAAGGAGAAGAGAATCAGCTGTCGAAACCAACGGTTGCGCTGATGAATCAGTCAGTCAATTAGGGCACGTAGGTTTATATGTATGGATTAGCTGGTACCCGCGGCTTTGTTTTTTCGCGGAATTTGTTCAGCGCTGCCTTAGTCGCTTCAATTAACGAACCGGGCAACATTTCAAAGGGTTTTACTGAGAGGAAAAATAGACTAAGTTACTCCTTATATAGACAGTCCTGGTACCTGGTAGTAAAATATTATCAAAATCGGTCCAGCCGTTTAGAAGATTACCCGGAACAATCAGACAAAGACAAAACTATTTTAAACTGGTTTTCAGGCATAGGTATCGTGAAAATAACAGTGTGAGTATGAAAAAAAAACTATTATTTTGACATTACAAACAGACAGTTCAATTTTATTTATTTGTATAGATAAGAGCGATAATATCTGAAAATTGAAACTGTTATAACTATTAAACGCATTTATTAAAGTTTTTTTTTTTTATTCTCTTTAAAATTCTAACACTGTATACAGAACGCTCACTTATGTTACAAACATAAGTGAGCGAAAAGCACGAGGACAGAAGACTGAAGCGTATTAACCTACACACATTTTGTCGACGATAATTTTTACCCCTCTTATGTGATAGGCAACAAGCCCTTTGTCAAAGGAAGGCAATGGTATAAAAGGGGCAATTCCGTTTATAGCATGTGTGCCTTTGAAGTGGGAGCATGTCTTTTCATTCAAGGTTTTAAGTTTCTATTGCTCTGCAAATGCCATAGACGGTATTTTTTTAGCCTCTAAAAATATACAATAAGATAAATGAAAAATATTAACGTGAGAACGATCATTTGTTTTGTGTCTAGGTGTAATTTATCTACAACTAGCTGACCCGGCAAACATTGTTTTGCCAAAAAAAAAAATTTAGGGATGGGTCACCCTTACCATTTAGGGGTATGAAAAATAGATGTTGGCCGATTCTCAGACCTACCCGCTGTGCACACAAAATTTCATGAGAATCGGTCAAGCCGTTTCGGAGGAGTACGGGAACGAACATTGTGACACGAGAATTTTATATATGATATGTATTTATTTGGAAAAATATAAGTATGTATGTTTACCAGCAGTCTGGTTCCCATAGTACAGGCTCTGCCTAGTTTTGGGTCAGACTGCCGTGTGTGAGATGTGTCAAGTTATTATTATTTTACTGTACAGTAAAACTGTAAACAACCAAGGAAATGAAACAGCTTGATAGCCGAAATTGAAAATCCAAGTCAGGCAACTATCTGATTAAAATCTACATTTTTTATCATTATTGCTTGTCTGTCACAATACTTATCTTGGCAACTTATGGGGCACTTAGTATTGAATGTGACAATATTTTGCTTTTTTACAACACTTAAAAGAATTACAAGTAAAATGATATCGTAATGGGCTATTGACGGTTGCAACATTGATGGTAATTCCATATTTGAAAAATTGAAACGAAGTCACTTTAAGTTAACACATGTTTCTAATAATAATCATAGTTTAGAAGAACTAGAAGAACTGTTAAAATAGGATATATACGAGTAAATCCTTTAAAAAAAAAAGGTAAACCAACTTCAAACAATAATAACAAAGAGGACTAAAAACCTAGCAGCAGTTGCGGTTGATTTGCTGTAATTTTTTGATGAATTCGGTTCTCTGTCTCTGAAACTCATGATCAGATCTATTTGAAATTTTAATAGGACCACTTTGGAATAAAACCTTAATAACAAAAAAAGAATTTTCCAAATTCGTCAATATTTGACGGAGTTATACCTGAACATACATAAAAAAATATAAACATCTGAATTGATAACTTCCTCCTTTTTGAAATCGGTTAATAACAATTGTCCTACCTGCCTCCATCGTCAGATCTGTTCTAATATACGGAATTATAATTTTGTCATCCAAACTAAATATACATACAGTTTCATTCCAATATAAAAATTATAAGTAAGTTAGAAAAGATTTTCAAGATTTATATAATATATTAATACAAATGCAGATAATATTTTATCAATAAGTTATCTTTATTTTAGTAAATGGGAATTGAAGGTTTTAGCTGAAAACCAGTGCTTGGTAATCCATGTGAATTCCAAACATAGGCTGACACTTAGACATTTTGCTTTCAGTATTATAGTTTTTCTGTATATTTCTACAAATGGCTGTAATACTAAAATCAATAAACTGTTATTCTATTCTTCTAATAAAAGTATGTTAAATAGGAATACTACTTCTTTTGATAAACATAATAAGAATTTGTGAGACTAAACAAAACAGACTATTCTAGCTTTTTGATTTCTCTCTTATTTTTTTATAGCTTATTGTATATTTTAAATTATTTGATAAAAGCTATGAGCCCTACCCAATTGGCAAATTGTTAACAAAAGAATTTTTGAAGAATAACTTTATACTGTTAACAGTAAAATAAAATCTTTGTAGGCACAACATGAATCAATCATTGAAAAAAAAAAAGCAATTATAAACAAGAAAAAACGGATTTCTAGTAATTTTAGCAACACAAAATTAATCAACAGGAAAAGTGATAAGAATAACAAAATGTAAAGTTACAAATGCAAAAATATAGGGTAAATGTTTAGGTATAACCCATTGCAGAGGTATTTTATTATTAAGGGTATTTTCGCAGTAAAGTATTAAACAACGTTGACTGTAATGTGATTATATCGTATTGTGACCGAAAATTAAATCAGTAATCTGCTAGTCTTAGTAATACTTTACTATTTTACTAAGAAGATAACTTTTATGACAGTTGGGAGATAGTTGGTCAAAACTGAATTGAGACCGAACTTTTATTACGAGAATTCAACTTCAGATTGCTAGTGTTAAATTAATAATAATAAACGGTATAGGATCAAGCCTCAATAGCTCATTTACCAGACAACTGTTATTTCATTGTGCCTTTAACATACATATATTGTAAGTAAATACCCATTTTGTAGGAAGATTATTGTGCTGTACAATATTGTGTTAAGTAGTATTTAAGTTTACATTAAAATCAAAAATGATTTTACCATACAAATATAATGCACATGAAACTTGATAACAATAAATGTAAAGAGAATTGAATTCTTTATTCTACATTGCACAATGTTTACAAGGGTGTACACTTAACATTAAAATCGTATTTATTTGTGAACCTGAACGGACACAGCATATTTCTTTAGTAGACAAACATGAATTTAAAAACTGGTAAAATTGAATAGATCATTAAGGCTCTAAGAATCTGATACGTAAAATAAATATAAATGCTTCAGACTTTTTAATGCCCCACGTAAAAACGACGGGGTGTTATAAGTTTGACGTGTCTGAGTGTGTCTGTCTGTGACATTGTAGCTCCCGAATAGATGAACTGATTTTGTTTGAAAGGTGAATTAGTCGGTAGTGTTCTTAGCTATGTTTGATGAAAATCGGTCCAAGATGGCTATATATTTTTTGGAACGAAGTTCCTTATCGCGCGTTGTGAAAGGGGGCTAGACGGAAAAAATTGTTACGAAAATTGGTCACGACACTTTTTATTTTGAATTGTCACTTGTCAGGCATTAGGCGCCATCTATCGAATAGTAAAATTAAAATTTATGTTCTTAGGTTGAGCAAAAAATATTGTATTCGACATCATTTCTCAAGGAGATTTTACCAATGTATAAATTGTTTTAATTAGAAACCAACTGAAAAATATGTAGGTAATAGCCGCTTTCATAGATGGCATTGTAATTAAAATCGTGTCTAATCAGTTTTACTCGATGGTAACAACTTCGTTCCTATCGGGTGTCCCACGACACCACACGGCTTTTTGTATTTTAACAACTCCCTCAATCCCTCCATCTACAATGATCACTATGACAAAATTCAAATTCAGGATGTGTGTCAGGGGTTTTTTTTTATACTAGTATAAGGTTTATCAGTAAACATATTAAATATGTGACATAGAAAATAGCTTTATAATGTTTTAAAAATATTGTATAATAATAGCACAACCACTTGAGACACTTCATGAGTAGCCATTGAATCTTAAACTATTCTGAGCCTGAGCTGCAGTAATCAAATTACACTACATATATTCAAGTCCGTCTGTGCTACGCAGAGACAATAGAATACTGTATTCCATGATCCTGATACGAAGCTGAGTCATTGCATGGCTGGCCTGAATGTGGTATAACAGTCAGGCCAACCCAAGGAAATCAAGCCTTTCAGACACACTGGTTAGTTACAGGGGCTTTAAATGAGGCCCTTCTGCAGTACACACCAATCCAGCGTAAGGGCCTGTCTGCATACACTCTGATATATTACTAAATACACATGAATAATAAACGAATAACCCTGATACAGAACAAATACCACTCTTGAGACTATTTATACTGTTACGAAATTGGAGTTACAGTCTCTAGCTCATTAACCACTACTGTAACTCATTAATAAACCAATCACATTATAATTTTATTAAAGGTGTCACTTATTCATCCCATGGGTGTGGTAAGAGCTGACTAATGACGAAGGGAGCAAACTAAACAGAACTAATCCCACCCACACGCCCACCAATGTAACTCCTGTACACCAGGATCCACTGCAGTGACCCACAAACACACCGACTTATGACACTCGGGAAGTCCCAGGAAGAAATTAAACTGTCTTGGAACCCGCAACGAAATTAATCAGAAGAAAATTGGAGAAGTTGGAAATACAGTAAATCCAAAGAATCCAAACTAAACAGAACTACAAAGAGATGGACCATTTAAAACAAACCATATACCAGCCTATCTGGCCAGTGTGGTAGGCCAAAACCTCCTTTCTAAGGAGACTCCTATGTCCTGCAGTGGACTGGCAAAGGCTGGCAAAAGATTGATGATTGTTGATGATCATTTCTTATTAAAAACGGAAGTAAATGATTTTTAAACCGAATAATAAAATGCAGATGGTACTTACCCTCAACATATGCACCAGTTCATCCTTTGATATACCTATTCTATCTCTGTCTGCAGAATCCACTACATATATTATTGCATCTGTGTTACCATAGTAACATCGCCAGTAAGGCCTGAAACAGTACAATGTTTTAACATTACACCATAAAATCTAGATAACTCTATAGAACATTAGATAATAGACATTGTATTTAAGCAGGCTACACTACACTAGTAATTCTAATGTCACAAAAGCGTTAACCATGACTAAAAAGGAACTTAACCTATACTTTAAGCCACTCTTACCTAATACTGGTCTGTCCACCAAGATCCCACACTTGAAACTTAAGGTTTTTGTATGTTACTTGCTCTACATTAAAACCGATCGTTGGTATTGTGGTAACTACCTCTCCCACTTGCAATTTGTATAATATTGTAGTTTTCCCGGCGCCATCCAAACCGAGGATCAAAATCCTCATTTCCCGGGCCCCTAACAACCCTCTGAAGTAACTAAATAGACCGCCTGCAATATATCGATATAATACATTGAATAATATTCAATAAATACAGAATAAAACACATTCTACGACAGTTAGTACTTACCCATTTTCTGATAAGCTTAGCCTATTTTAATACATTAGTTGTTACGACTAAGGAATGATTCTGTATTGTGGCTGTGCATCAAATGTCTACAATGTTTCTATTTTTACTATCTACACTTTTATTTTACGTATTTAATCACTCTTAATGATAAATAAAGACATTTTATCGTAAACTCTAGGAATCATTTGACGTGTAAGCAAGCACTCATGTTTTATTGCCAGTACGAAAAACTTTAAGAATGCTCAAAATGATTCTCGTAATCTTATCATTCACTGCGGATAAAAATTACCATAATATTTAATGTTAAGGTTTTATGTGGTTTTATCAGCATTTAAATTTACACAAAACGAAAATTAGATTTATATAGTGGAGGTGCTTGGTGTTACCACCCACGCCTCTGCTCCACCCACGCCGGGCATTCTGCCAGCGTGTGGAGCGCATTGTCCACGGTCCGGCCATCGCAGTGGTGGCACTCAGGCGTTAGCTCCTTGCGGATCAGACACAGGTGATCTCAGAAACAGTCTTTCTCGGTGATCACCTACGTCGTAGATATTGCCATTGTTTTACATAACCTAGGAATCCTAAAGAATATTCAAATTTACCATTGTGTCGACCGCAAATGAAATGAAACAAAACAAATCTATGCAAAAAAAAAGATACCATTTGTCGTATCACCTCAGTTTGAGAGCATCTCCCTAACTGCCTCAGCCAGCATCGGAATCCTAGGCATCGACATATCGAGCGAAGTAAAGTTTCGGGGTCACTTAGAGGGTAAGGTCAAATTAGCCTCGAAGAAGCATGGTGTACTGAACAGAGCGAGGCAGTATTTCACTTTGGCCCACCGGCGACGACTCGAATCGTCGATAGCCCAAAAATCTCCGATCGGCTCGATCCCTTGGCGTTACGTAAGGATGTGGCTTCACTCTGTATTCTCTATCGCATATATCATGGAGAGTGCTCCGAGGAATTGTTTGGGAGGAATTGACTAATACCAGCCGCAAATTTCCACCATCGTTCCACACGGCAAAATTTTCATCCTCATTACCTGGATAGTTGGCGCTCCACTACTGTGCGCTTTTCGAGACACTTTTTGCCCCACACAACCAATCTGTGGAACGGATTATCGGCTGCGGTATTACCGGACCGATACGACCTTCAGACCATTAGAAAAGAGCGTACTCCTTCCTAAAAGGCCGGCAACGCGTTTGTGACTCTTGAGTTACAGACGTTCATGGGCGGCGATAGTCACTTTCCATCAGGTGACCCGTCTGCTCGTTTGCCCCCCTTAACATAAAAAAAAAGCTGGTGACTTACACGGAAAACTATCTTTGGTTAGTCGAGCGAAAATGCAGAAGCAGTAATACTCTTTTATGGTAACCTAACTTGCAATGGCTAAGATATACATATATGAATATCTTTAAATAAGTATAGGAGTAACAATGTAACAATGTCGCGCCTGAAAAAATAAATGAGGCAATGTGTGACTAATTGGAGAGATGTTTGACTAATTGATGACTCATGATCTATTACATAGTGATTTAAGCAACCTTTTTATTTTCAGTAAAAGCCTCCCGGATCTCCGAAAAAGTATAGATGAAATATAAATAATTTAAATTAATTAGCGCTGAACGCCTGTTAAAAATTGGTAAACAAATATTCAAACAAATTGTAGACTAGATATTTATGTAGTTCTGTTGTAGTATCTGAGTGTAATATCGTCAGTGAGTACTTTTAAGAGACTCGTCAAGGATCACTATTTATCTCTGTAAGATCTATGTGTTATATATGTAGGTATGTAAGTATGTGTATATTTATATCAACGTACATATGTGTATAAATATGTATTTACGTAAATCTATATAATGCGCACCACAGACTACATATTACTATACAGTATAGTCCGTCTAAAGGTTGCCTGTAAGAGATCGCAGACTGCGATAAGGCCGCCCATTGTACCACTGTTTTGTTTATTTTATGTTTATATTGCATTGTATGTTTTCTATCCAAAGTGTGCAATAAAGAGTATCTATTTATCTGAGTAAATTACTCCGGACGTATTTTTTAAATATTTTATAACATTTGTAAGTGGTGAAAATATCTTTGTGCATTATCTTGTATATAAATTTCTTAATATAAAATTCTCGTGTCACAATGTTTTTTTTTTATTTTTCATACCCCTAAATGACAAGGGGGACAACACCCCTAAATTTATTTTTTCAATATTGCCTAGAAATAATGTATATGGCAAAACAACGTTTGCCGGGTCAAGCAGCTAGTGTGTTTATAATTTTATCGATGTTAGGTACATACTTTGTGTACCCTTAAAATAACAGGTTCTTTGTAGCTATGAGTTGTTTTTATCGACAATATAAACAGCATAACTATTATTTTTACTGAATACTTAATGTTAAATGTAACATGATGGTACAACCCAAAAACGTGGAACCATTAACAGTTTTATTAGAAATAGCTAGATATTGACTTATACTTTAGTTACTTTTGTCTGACTTCTGAGAATATCAGAAGTATATTCTCCTGACAGAATTATAAAAAAAAAAGTACAAAAAAGGTTTTCAATTTTGTTACACAAAGCGAACCTATGGTCAAAGGAACAAATATTAAGGAACCTGTGTTCTTTAAAAGTTTAGTTAGGTAAAGTTTTAAGCCACCTTGCCAAACAAGGCTATGTGCTATCACCCACACTATTCCTTCTGCTTATCAATGATGCACAACATGCAGATGATAGCACGGGAGACGCCTTCGATACCGGCCCCAATATTTCTAGGCAAAATGTCATCGAGAGTTGAGACAGACTTGTGTCTGAAATAGAAACTTCCTAATCGGATGTTTCAGATTGTTGTAGACGTAATGGGACTGGATTAAGTCTACAACAATCTGAAACCTCAATTTTAACTGACAAAATACACAGGTTTACGCGTTCACCGCAAAAAACAGACAAACACTTAGAGGGTAAGCTCAAATTGGCTTCAAAGAAGCTCGGTGTGCTATACAGATCGAGGCAGTATTTCACCCCGGCCCACTGCACTCAACTTTATAAGGCGCAAGTCCAGACGCATATGGAATACTGTTCTCATTACTATTCAGCGGCACCCCAATACCAGCTTCTCCCTCTGGACCGTATCCAACGAAGAGCGACTCAAATCTGAAAACTCGAAACCAAAAGATTTAAGCGCGATCCTTTGGCGTTACGTAGAGATGTTTTTTTTTTGAAAGACAACTCCCGCACTAGGAATAAAGCCTGTGTCGCGGGGAACTGTACAGACATACTTGAAACGGACACAAAGAACACCCAGACTCAGAACAACAATTTGTGAATCACACAAAGTGTCGTCCCATGTGGGGATCGGACCCACAACACTCAGCGTAGTAGTAAGCGGCGTGGCGACCGCTTAAACCACTACGCCATACGTGCAGTCAGCTGTAGCTTCACTCTACACTATATATATCATGCAGAGTGCTTCGAGGAATTGTTCGGACTAATACCAGCCGCAACTTTCCGCCATCGTTCCACACGGTGCCAGTCCACCGCTGTGCGCTTTTCAAGACACTTTTTTCCTCGCATAACCAATCTGTGGAACAAGTTATCGTCTGCAGTATTTCCGGACCGATACGACCTTCAAACCTTCAAGAAAAGAGCGTACTCCTTCCTAAAAGGTCGACAACGCGCTTATGACTCCTAAGTTGCAGGCGTATACGGGCAGCGGTAGTCACTTTCCATCAGCTGACCCGGCGGTTAATTTCCATAAAAAAACCTCTGAGGGTAAGCGGTCACCTTAGCCAATGAACGTTTTCAACATATATATGGTCCTATTCTTCATCTGGTAATGTGTTTACAATTTAAATTTAGACTAATTTTCTGAATACCATGAACACAATTTATATTATGTTACTAAATTAACACAAATTCTTTTAAGGTGAGGTTTGAAAGCAGTATCTTACTAAGAATACTTATAACAAAATTATGACTTCTTTAGTTGCGTTGACCTTAAATTCGGAAGGAGGGTCAAAAGGTGGCAACGCACTTTGATAGCGGACGCCACTCACCATCGGGTAACCCGTAAAAAATAGAAAAAGGTTCTTTAACAAAAAAACAAATGCTAAAAAGCGTTAGGAGGAAAGTCGCATGATCGTGTCGAAACAGGTTCAAAGTTGAGAGCTAGTAATAAATATTACTGGTGAGTGGTGAGGTTGAGCAATTGAGCTTGTTTTGACGTGTTATCTACGGTACTAGGATTAGAAATAAATGTACCTATAGTTGATGATTGATGATCATGTTTCAACAAGCTAAGTTCAAGTTCCCAAAATCTGAAGGCAATTTCAAAGAGGAAGTTTACAAGCCCGTATAAGAATACTTTTATATGAAAAAGAAACGCAGGGCTCTTGTAAGTAGTAGTGTACAAATTCTTACCGCTATATATTATATATATTCTTATTTTCTTTTCTTCTTTCTTATTCTTCTTCTTATTCTTCTTCTTCTTACCCTAACTACAAAACGATTGTACAACATATGTTGGCAGCCTTTAATGATCAAGGAAAAGCTGTTTTCCTGTAAACTTGGGAGCCTACAGTCAAGATCAGTGAAAGCTTCACTAGGATCTCCATGATATCAAGAGATGAATGCTCGATCGAAAAACGAGAAAGAAAAATTGTAAAGGGGTTCGGAGAAGCATCAAAGTGAAGGGAAAAAGTTTTGCAAGAAGAAAAAGTTAGACCTAAAGTAGTGAATAAGTATCAGAAATGATTAGTTATAAGAAAATATAGTGTATTCAATTGATTGTACTTTAGAACACGGGATGAGATGTTATGGAAGTCGTTTATAGACTCTGCGATCTTAAGAACATATTATAATTCAACAAAAATATACCCATGCGATTGAATAAAAAAAATACAAACGTGTAAATTAATTGACTACCAGTGCAAAACATTATAGCAATCTGCAAAATTGTAACTTTTTAATTATCATTAACGATTAACGAAAAACGT